CCCCAAAACCCCAAAACCCCAAAACCCCAAAACCCCAAAACCCCAAAACCCCAAAACCCCTACTTGAGAATATTAGATGGAAAATTAGAAAATTTAGATATAATAAAAGTAGCAAATATGAACCGGAGAGAAGAAATCCTGACTAGCTTTAATTCTATGGAGAGCATGACCCCTAAAGACAATCTTAATGCTTCAAAGGAACCAAATGAGGTCCTATCAGCAGTAGAAATGTTACTAGCGCAGAAATAACCATCAAAGCCAACTTCAAGTACATGAAGAGGATGAAGGCAAGAATGGCAAGAAAGCAGAAAGTAACCTGTGAAAGTCAGCAATCCGGTGGCCGACTAGGCTTGAAATTAATTTTGAGCAAGGACTATCGCCGAGATCTCAGAAATCCGATAGTAAAAATTTAAAATAAGAAACATTATCATAATAAAGGTTTAAAAAATCGGAAGCCATTGAAGAGCTCTCAACTTAGCATGGACATCAGCTTAAAAGTTATGAGCAGGAAATTAAGCGTCAAAAACTCTAAGAAATCTCCTCAGGGAGGAGCTCATGCTTCCATCAAGAACCACCATGAAGAATCAAATGCTTACGAGAATGTGCAGTCACCCACTCAAAATAGCAAAGATAGTAGTAGAATTGATATAAAGTAAGCTTGATCTGGTCTACCTCATAAATCTTTCTATAGCAATGGTAAAAAGAACCCGAATATCAAAGAGACAGGGAAGAAAAACATGTGCATCGAAACCCAAGATTTTGAGGAGATTTATGATGCTTCTTACATGGACCATTTTCAATATGGAAGTAATATACCTAGAACCATGAAGAATGCTCAAACCTCTGTAAATAGCTTAGAGAGACATAAAAAATACAGTAAGCGAGCAAGCCAGACCCCTTGTGATCGATCCGATCAAGCTGAAGGACTTGAAATAACCTCATTCCCTGCAGGCAGAAACAACGAGACTCTTGTTCAAAAACTCTTAAATAAGACAGTCAATGTTGATAAAAATAGAATGTAGGCCTTGACTTTTGATCAAATAGAGAAAATGAAGTTAAAATACCCACAAAGATACCAAGATTTAAGCAGGAAGGTATTTCAAAACTTATCCTTCATATTCACTTTTCAATATAGAACTAAATAGTATCAAATCCATCGAGATGAAATACTTATACAAGATAATTAATGGAGAAGGACCTATGGATAATAATGTCATCATCAGACATCATAATGGAGATTTATGAAACAATGTCAGAAAATGAGTGAAGATTGAAGAAAATCGCATAAAAATCACCGATGAATGTGCATACAAACATCGAATCATGGAGTAAGAAATTATCAAAATTTGAATTAATCCAAAATAAAATAATCCTGACCTTGATATCCAGAAATCAGCAGCTTTGAGTTAATGGGCATTATATAAAATGGTTGAAGAATCATGAACCAGACAAAATCAATAAGGACATGGCTGAGTATATTTCCTTCCCAAAGAGGAATCTTTTTCACCCAAGCTTGCCCTCATCCAAGATAGGGAATAAATATAATGATATGATATATATTGAGGGAAATGAATCTATAAACCAATACACTACACGAAGAAATAAAAGCCATAGGAATGATTTTGGCAAGCAAAAGAAGCTATTGCAGCACCCAAAAATGAGAGAGAATAAGGATACTTCAAGTGAGAACAGCCATAAAAGTAAGCCTGATGCCCCTAAAAACTAATTCTCTGTTCAGATTATCGTACAAACAATCTTTCACAACCAAGATATGCAAATATGTCTCAAAATAGAAGTGCTGAAGAGCATAAGTCTAAACATAAAACACGGTATAACTCAGAATACGAACCTGAAGGTAGGATATGAGTTGGAATTCTCTATAGATTATGCAGAAATGGTCCAGGTCAGAGGTAAGTCTCCATATAATCCACTGTTTTTTCAGCCATTAATGCTCATATCATTTAGATCTTAACAGTAAAGTCAGAAAAGTATTTACAAGAGAGAAACCATCCATTGGCATCAAGGGTATAGGCAGGTATTCTACCTTCAAATGAATGAAAACTCCTCCAGTAAGGTCAGAATGTTCACATCTGTAGGCTAGGTGGAGAGGTCATAAGAGAAAGAAGAGTAATCATAGACAATAATTTTTAGTTAACTCCAAGAGCAATTATACTGGAATTGGATTTTACAAATCTCCTCAGTTTACTTCTAACAGAACGACTAGCCATAAGAAGGCGCTTTCATTGACAGGAAAGCCACTCAATCCAGAGATACTTAAGAACAGAGAACGAAAGCTTCTTCAAGAAGAGAGATCCAAACGAGAAACTAGAAGTTTCTTCTACAAGTTATCAAAACAGTTTTCTGAAGCTTCAAAAATGCACTTTGGGGATAACCCTGGAAGGAGGATAAAGACAAATCATCTTAAATTTAGAGCGAGAAATCCTTCAAATTATGAGCCTAGTTTCTCTCAAATTATAGAAACAGCAAGTGACCTCGGGAAACCAACCACAGGTGAAGATTCTGATCTTCTAAATCAGACTGTGAGGCTAGATGAAACCAACCTGTATGGAATAATGAATCGTGCTAATCCCAAAAGTGAAGTCCTTGATTTGCCTCAGCAATTCAAAGAGCCATCCAAATTGATCCAGATTGTACAAATAATTAGGGGTAAATAAAGCCACTTCGTTCATGCCAGACCCAAATCCCAGAGATAGCATTGACAAAGCTCAAGAGTCACAAAATAACTCTCTTTACAAGCCTCAGATTAAAGATTTCCACCCAAATGTCAAAAATTGTAAAATGTGTGGCCTGAAAGATATCAAAACAACTGTGAACAAAAAGAATAAATTTTCAAACCAGATTTGTAGTTGAAAGCGAGAAAGCTTACTCCCATTCAGTGCCCTAGATATTGATCCCAAAACAAAATTTGTTCCAAAATAAGCGACTCGCTACTGCTAAAAAGAGGAGACCTGGTAAGTCTTCAGTAAAGGAAGACTATAAACCTGAAAAAACTGGAGAAGAAGCCTCCTTTATCAGCTATAAAGCAAGTACATTTAGACCTTTGACAAGCGAACCGTTCCATAAGAGGTTTGTCAAAGGCACTCGGAGAGGTGTTCCTGTGTATAAATTTAGTGCTACTAAGGTAAGTATAGGTCTAAACATTAATAGCCATTGGAAAACTATAATCCTTCAGATGTCCAAAACTTAGCAAACCATATTATGAGTCCAAAGAACCTGTTATATGCAGCTTATGGTTCTTCTAAAAAGGTACCTGCACCTAAGCCCGGCTTATTTTCATAATTACTAACATTTCCAAGATTTCAACCATCAAATTTTGGAAAGGGGTTTTGGGGTTTTGGGGTTTTGGGGTTTTGGGG